CCCGCGGGCACCCTCCAGCCTTTGAAGGGGTGGGGTTTAGCCGCTCCCAGGAGATCGAGGAGCTGGAGCGTTTCATCGACAGCTACGTGCTGGAGTACCAGGTGCAGGGGCTGCTGGCCGACAAGACGGAAGGGGATGGCGAGAGCGAGAAGACACAGTCCCACATCTCCCAGGTGAGCACTGGCAGGGAGTGGGAGATACAGGGGGCCCAAATTCCAGGCAGTGTCCAGTTGCCTGGCCATAGACTGCTAAGGTGTGGATGGTCCCACCTGTGGAGCACCCAGAATCCTGCAGGTGAGGCTCTGGGATCCTGACAGGAAGCACCCCATGTGCACACGTGACCTTTCTGATCCACTAATTTCCTCCTATCCTTTGGGCAGCTGGAGTCCAGCCAGGCTCACGCGCCTTTAAACACCTTTCCTGAGCACCTACTCTCTCTGATCCACTAATTTCCTCCTACCCTTTGGGCAGCTGGGGCCCAGCCAGGCTCACGAGCCTTTAAACACCTTTCCTGAGCACCTACTCTGTGCAAGGCACAGTTCTCTGTCCTCAATAAGCACGTGTTCTAGGAGAGAGCTGGAGATCGTAGCTGATCCATATTCACACCATCACATGGCTGTAGCCTGTGAGTATCTTCTCTGATTTCAAACACAGGCAGCGAGTTGTTGGCAGCCAAAGAAATGAGTCTCTCGGGTCGCTCCCCCAGACTTTGTTCTCCAGACATACTAGATGCATGAGGCATTCTGAGCAGGATCCCGGGTTGATCTGTCCCCTTCCTGCATGGCAGCCTTGACATTGGATGGGAGGTGGACTCAGTGGGAAGATAGAGCACTGAAATTTAGAAGTCTTCATGTCTCTGAATGAAATATGAATGCCTTAAGGGCGGGGATAGTGTCACACATGCCGTTGCACAACCTCATACATCCTCGGTACACATTGGTTCAAAGGTTGCTTCCAGATTTGCTGCCTGCATGACCTTGGGCGAAGCCCTCAATGTCTCTGAGACTTAGTTTTTTATCTGGCAAATGGGGATTATCCTGCTGCCTCTGGAAGGTTGAAGGTCAAAGGTATGAAGTTCAAAGCTACAAAGAAACAGGGTGCAACTGCACAAGGAGACATGGGGCATCTTCTCTCCTGTCCAGCATCAGGGTTCACCAGAACCCTACGCTTGTCCTTGTCACCTCTTGTCTGGGACTCTGCTGACAAGCAGAATGAGTTACTTCAGTGCTCTGCTTCAGAGATGAACCAAATGCAAACTCTTTCTCTTGATGATGGGGTTGGGATCCATATCTTCTGGCTTTTCAAAAAACCAGAATAAACTGTTTCTTCTAGAACAAAGAGTAGGAATCTGAGGAATTCTGGGTTCCCCCCTGGGAGGGATCTGGGAAATTCTGAAGCTACAGTGGTCCCGTGCCTGTCTCCACTAGGTTGCAGGATCCAGGAAGGAGCCCCCAGGAGAAGTAGAGATGTGATGTTTCCTTTAGGGTCTCTAAAGTTCTGAAGGCACGAGCAGTGTAAGCCTGTATTCTCATTTTCCCATCTGTGAGGGTGTGCTGAGCACCTGTCCTGTGCCGGGCACTGTTCCAGGACTTGGCCTCCAGGAGTGAGCAAACCGATGAAAAGCCCTGCCTGCATGGATCTTCCCTTCTCATGGTGGAAAATTTCTGCAATAGGGAGAAAGCACGGATGGAACAGGCAGTGCTGAGGAGCAGGAGGCTGTGCAGTTTTAACAGGGTGGCCAGGAAAGCTGTCACTGATGGGGGCCAGTGCGGGTCTCCAGGGGAGGAGCTTTCCAGGCAGAAGGAGTACCACGTGCAAAGAGCTGGCCTGGAAGAGCACAGTGGTCCAAGCACAGCAAGGAGGCCATGGAGGAAATGAGCCAGAGAGATGCCTGGATTGTGTAGACAAGAGGAGCCAAGACTGAGCTCTGGGGCTGTCCATCAGGGAGGAACCAGACAGAGACCAGAGGCAGGAGGAGCAGCAGGCCAGAGTGGGGTGCTGAAAGCCCAGGAGATTCTCCGAGGAAGTAAGAGAGGGGTTGGTGTCCTGGAATGCTGCTGCCAGACTGCCTAGGAGAATTGGGAGTAACAGCTGAGCAATGTGGCCTGGTGATGATGACCAGAGACATTTCAGCCGAAAGCTGGGAGCAAAAGTCTGGCTGGGCTTGGCTTAAGGCAGAGCAGAGGAGACTGGAGACGAGGAGGATAATACGTCCGTTTTGGGGATATTAGCTGTATACGGAGGGAAATGTGCAGGACGGCACCCTCAGAGCTGAAACTCCTGCAGCTGGGGGTGGGCGGGGATGAAGTCCCAGGAATGTGTACGGCTTCACCCCAGAGGACTGCTTTGCCGATGGTATCATTTCTGTGCCCAGAGCAGCCACGGGGAAGGCAGTTTTGGAACGAGGGGCCCTCTCACCAGCTCTGATCTGCCTGGGGTGACTGCTGAACTCTCAGAAGGTACAGCAGGTGGTGACATGTCTCTGTCTGGGTCCTGCCCTTCTGGCTCCTGTCATGGGTTTTAAACCCGTTTGCGCTGCAAGGCACGGGGTGGAGGCCCCGTTACTCGTAACACTTGGGTGCGTTCCTCCAGCATCCCGTGAACTCCAAAGTGCCCTGAAAGAGTGCAAACACCTGGCAGGATTCCAGGAGCCTGCACACTGTGGGAACAGGGGAGTGTCTCAGTCCGGCTCATGGCAAACCTCAGCCTCCCCTCCCCACACCAGACTCACCTGGGTACAGACTATAGAGGAGGGACAGTGTGGCTGATCTAAACAAGGCCAGGATAGACGTGTCTTCCTAAGACACTTCTTTAAAAAAAAAAAAAAAAAATCTATGGGACCATCAGTTAGCGTAATGGCTATGTCGCTGGACTCCCATGTAGTCGACCATGGCTCAAGTCTCGGACTGGGGGCTTTAACTCATGCCGAGCGCATGTGCATGCATGCCCAAGATCCCGAGAGGAGAATGGAGGAGAAGGAATTGCGGTGTGGCCATCCTGGGGGGTGATTTCTCATTTTCTGTCTCTCTTTCTGGCGAGCGCACACTCCCTATAGCAAAAACCTCTCCCCACTCCCCCCCCCAAAAAAAAAAGAAAAAGAAAAAGAAAGAAAGAAAGAAAGAAAAAAAAAATCTATTGACTTGGCTTTGTGGGAAATATTTCTGCTAAAGCACTTTGGCTTGTGTTTATTTTATCTAAAGACTTTTAAATGAAAGCCAAACACACACTCACACACATACACACACACACACACTACCACCCAAAGAATGTTCTTGTCTGCCTCTCTACAGTGGTGTTTTGACATTTCTAGGAGAGGAAAATTGTTAAGAATCTTGGAAACCTTGAGAAAGCTTGAGGGAGTGGAGAGGAGCGTGTGCAGTTAGTGAGGTCACTCTGTAAGCATCTGAGGAATGGTGCTCAGGAAGAAAAGTCCTCTTGGCGCTCCTTGTCTCTCCCCCAGCAGCAACTAGAAAGAAAAGATGGAGGGAGGGAGATGGATGGAGCTTCCCTTCCCTTAGGCAGAGAGCCAAAGGAGGCCTGTTTTAAGTTTTCCAGCGCTTTCTCATATTTCAAGATACACCTCCCTCCCCCAAATCTCAGGAGCACTAACTATCCAAAAGGCCAAGTCTCCAAAGTCACAGCCCAAAAATTTTCACTCTGTCCTTAGAAGGAGGAGGGATTATAGCCCTATTGTGAAGGAGGGCAACTGAGGCACAGAACTGAAAAATGGCCAAACCATGCTACTCAGTGGTGGCTGAGCAGGCCCTGGAGCCCCACCCCAGTTGCTTTCGCTGCCTTTGGTTTTCTGCTGGCTACAGGCTGTGATTGATAGGATGCTTGGTGGCACATAGACATATATAGGGACCAGCAGGTGGCCTGGTAGTAAAGGGCACTGGACTCCCACATGGCCGGCCATGGTTCGAGTCCCAGACCTGGTGGCTTGCTTCCTCACTTTCCCTCTCTCTCTCTCTTTATCCCTCTCTGGTCAAATTAAAAATAAGTAAATAAATACAGTAAAATAATTCTTTAAAATATGTATACACACACACACACACACATATCAGGATTTTGGGCATATATGCACATGTGCCCAGAGTGATTCTCAAGCAGATGAGTCTGAAACTCAAACCATGCAGCAGGCCTTGTGCGATCCATTGCCTTAATCTCCATACCAACTACTGGTCGAGGACTGGTATTTTTTAAGGTGTTTTTGTTTTTGCTTTTGATGAGAGGGAGGCAGGGAGAGAGAAGGAAAGATTCAGGCATTCTCAGGCCTCTATCTTCACAGCTTTTTCCAGCCAGCCAGGTGTACACACATTGGGTGCATACAAGTTGACCTGAGAACCAGACCCTGATCTTCCATATGACTTCCAGCCTTGCACAATATTGTGCCACCAGTACACCACTGCATATGGGCTGGCACCAGCATTTTTATAAGCCCCACCTGGCTCTGATGTCCCATTGGAGTCAACTATAATAGCCGGGGCATGGCTGTCTCCTTTCTCCACCCCCTCGATGTCCACTGCCTCCTGCTGTGGTCTCTTAGAAGGAAAGAATGGATGGACATTGCGAAGAGTGGATGAATTTATTAAAGGCATAGTTTCCAATACATTCCTGTTAACAGGAGAAATTAATAGCCAATGAAGATGAGCATAACTTTCTGTAGTCCTTTTTGGTGTTGCCAGGCACTTGAAAGTCTAAAATGCAGAGAGTCCTCTTTAAAAGAGATAGGCAAAAATGGAGACACGGAGGATGAGGCAAGAGCATTGCATTGATTTCATGTCTCTTACTAACATGCTTTTCCTTCTCTTTC